ATTTTCTCTCATTTTTTTAAAACCTGAAGCTATAAAAAAGGGTTTTATTTTATTTTATTTTATTTTTTGTTAAAAATATTTTTGGATGATTTGGTACACCTAAACTCCATACCAAGTGGCAATTCCCTTTTTCCTAAAACCCTTTTTAGACTATATTTTGGGTCCAAACTGCTGGATTTTTTAAAGTCTCATTTTAGGCTATTTTTCACTTATTTTCTAAAATAAAAAACACATTTTTTTAAAAATCTTTTTATTGTAAAAAATGGGGTGTGACAATATGGTTACCGGAATGCGAGTTTTACCATATTAGTTTGAATTAATTTTTTCTACACTGAAAGTATATAACAAATTTTCAATTTTCAATTTAACTTTTGCACATATATCATAGATTCAACGGTAATAGTGTATACACTGTTAATATATATAAGATTTAGGATAAATTTTTTATACACTGTTGGTGTATAATTTTTTTATTCTAGCAGGTTTAGGTCATATGCCACATTTTCATGCACATATGACATATATCTAAAACTGATAGTGTAAAAAAATTACTACATTGTCAATGCATAAAAAATTAATTCTAATATTTACTCTATTAGTTTTATATGAAAAATAATCTCAATCATTCAACATTATTTTTTACTATTTTACCCTTCTACCCATTCCCATGCCCTTTTCACCTCTAATTTAGGGCTGCAAACGAATCGAGCCGCTCCAAGCTCGACTCGAGCTCGATCAATATCGAGTTCGAGTCGAGTTCGAGTTGGCTCGAGTCGAAATCGAGCTCGAACTCGAGCTCAAAATATTAAGCTCGTTAGCTCGCGAGCAGCCGGCTCGCTCGAGTATATATATATATATTTTTTTTTTATTTTTTTTTTAAGTATATATATTTTTTAATTTTAAGTATATATATTTTTTAATTTTAAGTATATATATTTTTTATATTTTTTTATTTTAATAGTAAAATTACATATATATCCTTAATATTTTATTATTTATTAAGAAAAAAATTATTTTATTTATTTTTTAAAAAATAAAATAATTATTTTTTATTTTTTTCGAGCTCAAGCTCGGCTCGAATCAAGTCGAGCTCGAGCTCGAGTTTGAAATTGTCAGCTCGTCGAGCTCGAGTTCGAGTTCGAGTTCGAGTTCAATGAAATTATGTCGAGACTCGGCTCGATTAGGGCAAAACTCAACTCGACTCGACTCGTTTGCAGCCTTACCCTAATTGCAAGAGATTCGAACCACAAACTTAAACCGTGGGTGCTCAACATTAGAATAGGGCAATATGCTAATGTCAGCCATCAACTGCAATGTGCGATTACGTCTTTTTAACCAGTGAGTCCTCTCATGGATACAACCAATAAACTCCAAACCACCACAATACTTCAAAGGCAAAGTTATACAATGTCTATGTTCATTGCATTGTATATGGATAGGCTAATAATTATGCTCCTTGTGGCTATTCATCTGAAGCTGCCCTCATATTGTCCTTCTGTTATACATTCCACAATTACTAACGCGCCTTCATTGGCAAAGATATTCTCTCCGAACCAATGACGGAGCCAAGGGGGGCAGAGGGGGGCCATGGCCCCCCCTAAGTTTTGAGAATTTTAATTCATAATATGTAAATATGTGTGTAAAATAAAATTGGCCCCCCCTAAATTTTTTCAATTTTAGTTTATATTATGAGAGTTGATATATATATATATATATATGAATTAGTCATCTTTGAATGGAATTTCAATTTTGGCCCCCCCAAAAAAAAAATCCTGGCTCCGTCATTGCTCCGAACAGCTTGGCAACCAAACAAAACTATATTCAGCAATGTTTTGAAATCTGGACTGATCAATCGGTTTTACCCATTGAATCAAGAATCGGCAACAAAACTGATCCAATTATATAGTAACTCTGAAAGGTAAAAAGATAGGGATAATTTCATAAATATGCCCTAAGTTTTATGACAATTGCAGATAGTACCCTTCAGGTTTAAAAACTACACCTACCTCCCCTCATGGTGTAAAACGATAAAAATAAACTTCATGAATTATTCAATTTAACATCTTCATAAAGTGAAGTAATGCATTTTTAAAATTGAAGTTAGAAAATCGTGAAAAAAAAAAGACAAAAGACAAAGAAGAGCAAGAGTAATAGACTCTCTTGTTCTAACCATCCAAATCACCTAAATCCAATCTTACTTAATATTTTAATAATTTGGAAAAAAAGAAAATTCTATGTCCCTTCAAAAATAGGTTACTTACTCAACTAGTATCCAAGATTTTTTTTTTGGTCCATTGGAATTTTTTTTAATTTGAGAGGAGAAAAGAATTTGATAGATATTTTTTCTAAAGTATGTGGCAATATATTAAGTTAAAAATTACAAAGGAATTTATTTCTATGGAGAAAAATCACCTAAGGGCAATATGGGATTATCAACGGAAATATTTCGCATACATCAGCAAAGTAAGCACCAAACTATCTTCTAAGGGAGGTTTATATAATTTTTTAAACCTAGAGGGTACTTTGTGCAATCATCATAAGCCTCAGAGGAGGTTTGTGAAATTGTCCTCAAAAAATAAGTCAAATTCCATCACAAAACCGGTTAAACGATAAAAGCCAATAAAATCAAGACGATTGAATTAGTTGGCCACTGAATTTCCTTTTTCTTTTTCTCTTTTGTAACGTGGTATTATTCAGATTTTTTTTAATTCCAAAATGAATTAAAGAAAGGGAAAATCATTCAAAACGTCCCTCACATTTTGCAAAATAACTTTTTCTGTCCCTCACTTTTAAAAATGTAATTTTACGTTCTTTACAAATTCGCATTGGTCAAATTTGATCCCTACTTAGGTTTCCGATTAGTTTTTTGTCGGAATTCACCACGTGTCTTGCACGTGATCATATTTTAAGGGCAGAATTGTTAAATCAAATTGGATATAATTCGGTTCATAATCCCTCATATTTCATAAAATAAATTTTTTCGTCCCTTATATTTCACAAAATGAATTTTTTTCATTCTTCACATTTTTCAAAATGAATTTTTTCATCTTTTATTGATCATGTGTGTGAATAATTTTTTTTAAATCCATGTAAATATCTATTTGATTTCACTTGAACAGTACGTATAGCATGTGAAATCAAATAAAGATATATTACATACTATTCGTACTGTTCAAGTGAAATCAAATAAATATATACATGGGTTTAAAAAAATTGTTAGTTTTTCACTTATATTCATTTTCTTTTACTCAAAATTTGAAAATAAAGAAGACATTTAATCCTAAATATTATCGAAGGGTTTATATCGAATTAAATTTGGACAGAAAAAATAAACAAAAGAAAAGTATGACAAAAAGAAATAAGTGTTTGGCACTTTCAAATTTTAAAACAATCACAAGGCAAGTAATTCAATTGTTGGTCTTAAAAGTGTCGAGTAGAAATTCAGATTTAAACTGAAATTTGTTAGCACAATTATAGAATTCAAGTTAGGACCCATTAATTAGATGACCTTATTATACAACTCAATAAATAAATTATTACCCAAAGAGAAAGGTCACAAACATTGAATAGGTTCAAATGGTGAAATCATATAAATATATACATGGGTTTCAAACAAAATTATTAGCTTAAAACCGGCCCCTATATATATCTATTGAATAGCATGTGTATAACTACGATTAGCATGTTTAGATGAAATCCAATAGAGATAAATTACATGTTATTCGTACTGTTCAGGTAAAATCAAATAGACATATACGTGGATTTATAGACAAAAAGCTATTCATACACATGATTAATGAGGGATGAAAAAATTCAATTTGAAAAATGTAAGAGATGGAAAAATTCATTTTGAAATGTGAGGAACGAAACAATTCATTTTGTAAAATGTTAGGGACGAAAAAATTCATTTTGTGAAATATGAAGGACTATGAATCAGATTATGTAAAAATTTGATTTGACAATTTTGCCCTTAAAAATGATCACATGTAAGTCACGTGGTGGATTCCGGCAAAAAAACTAGTCGAAAACCTAGGTAGGGACCAAATTTAGTTAATGTGAATTTATAAGGGACGTAAAATTATACTTTTAAAAGTGAGGGACGAAAAAAGTCATCTTGTAAAATGTGAGGGACGTTTTGAACGATTTTCCCTTAAAGAAAATTGAAATTTTGACCCGATTAGTTGAACTGATTAAACCAATGGCGCAAACTGGAAGCTTATCCGATTCACCCACTGGTGCACGTTTAAGAACATTGGGGTTCAGGCAGGTTTGTTGGCTTTAAGAATATGAACACACATGAAAGGCTTTGATCATCAACAGTATGGAACCACTTTCTCCAATTGGTTGCTAATTACTAGGCTCCTGACCAAATAATATTGAACCCAATAAATCTTGATGAAAACCAGACCAAATTTTACAGAATTGGACAACGGAAGACAAACCTTAAAGCCAGACCAAATCTTGAAGAAACCAGACTGAATTAGAACCTGAGTTCAGCTCAATCCTGTTTGGCAAGCAAAATGTTGGCTAAGTTTGTCTGCTACAAGTTTTTTTAACAACTTTAACTGCAATAATTTCAAAAAACTTCTCAAAATTTTTAAACTATATACTTTAAAATATTAAAAAATTTACACACTTCAAAAAATTTTATTACAACTTTTACATTAAAGTACAATAAAATTTTAAACAAACACTTAAAAAACTTATTTGGCAAACGGAGCCCTTGATTATGAGGAAACCAAACAGTACCAAAAAACCAATGCCTCCTCGGACTGTCGGCCACCACTGAGGCACTTAAAACCTTTGCTATTGACTTTTTCAAATCTAACGAGTGTCAAAAGCCATCCATCTGGTCCAAAGGTGGATTAATCCCGTGGATTAATCCCCTCCAATTTCCAATGATCCAATTGGGTCTGTCACCTTCCCCATAGTGAAGGAGTAGTAGCAGCAGCAGATATAAATTGTTGACAATTGACAAAAACAAAAAAGGCACCAGAATTGAATACGCAAGGGATACAATAGGGCTTGAATGCAATTTCTTCATCAATAGAATCTGTTGATACTCGTATCAAATTTTTCTGTAATGAACACCAATAATGTACATTTACATCTGCTGTAGACACGTACCAAAAAATAACTTAAACCTAGGTATTACAACCATCCTTTGGACAGTAAACAACAACATTGGCAAGCAAGGAAAATCTTTTCAAGCAGCCTAAAGAATATGACCAATTGTACAAAAAAGAAAAACTAAACAAGGAAAAATTTTCATTAACTCATCTCCGAGGGGGATCAAAAATTGGGTTCAATTCTATTTCTCCATTTCTTAACGCCGTTAGATTTCCAAATTTGTCTGCTTCTCTTGCAATGAGAATATCATCAGGTCTATAATACTGACTGAAAACTTTTACAATGAAACGAGGCAAGAGTGCAGCAACGGTAATGCCAAGTAGGCACAACCAGAACAACGCAGATCCAGCAATCTTAAAAAAGGCCCTGCACAATAGATTTAAACAACCGTTAGTCCCTGTTCCATGCAACACAGAAACCCCAAAAAAAAAAATCATGGGCTTCAAAAAACTTATCATGAGAAATATGAAAGAAAAAAAAACCCACAAAAACCAGATTTTGATTGATTACTCAGTACTGACAATAGCAGAATTCTGTCCAAAGAAAATGCTTCTAACGGTATCACAGACCAAAAGGAGATAAATGGTTCACCAAAAGGCATATAACCCCTAAACGGATCAAAGGAGATGAAATAGGTATATAACCTCAACTGGTACCAAAGATCAAAAGGAAATAAATGGTTCATCGATACGTTTTTGTACAGTTATCCTGGATGTCAAAGGACATTTGCCAACACAAGGTAACTTGGTGATTTCTAAACCTTTGATCTCAAAGGTAAACAATCAGAATGCAGTCTTTTCACTTAAAATGACAAGATACACTTTGGTTACACTCAACTAGAAAAATATATGGTCCAAACGAAGGCGGGGAGAGGTAGAGAGGGGATGGATCAACTTTGGTACCCATTAACACAGAAAGCTTAATGCAAAAGCAGTAAGCTTAATACAAAAACAGTCCATGTAGGGTGTTTTTCCATGGGTCCAGCAACTGCATTTGAGGTATCAAAAGTGCACTTGTGTCATTTGTCAGTCTTATGATTTATAAGCCTACATCATTGAAGGAAAAAGGGCTCTGTGAGGGCAAAATGAAAGTTCATTATGCAATATATAGAAGGGTTATTTAGTAATAAATGTCATTCAACAAAAATAAAAGTCAATCTATGACCAGAGCACCTCTTGGAGAGGCTTAACCAGAATTGGATCCAAGACCTTATTAAATCCTTTTACAAGCATTTCTTTAGGGGAGAACTTCTAATATCTTTATGAACTGTACAGAGTTTTTTTTCTTATGTGATTAGAGTAGAAACGTAAGCTTCTTTCAGTTGTCATCTCCCAAGTCATATTCAAGTTCGAAACTTTTCACCGTCCTCTTTTGGCAATTTACTTGCAGTTGATTTATCCCATATATGGTTTACAGTTTATCAGGAAAACTATTGCATACAATGTTCTACACCTCATGCATAAGATTTCCCAAAGCATGGCATCTTGGAATTAGTGAAGCATAAAATTTGCATTATCATGAATTAGTTGTATCATTTTACCTTCGAATAAGGACAAAAAATGATCCTATGGAGGGTTAAGTATAAGAAAACAATGCACTAAAATGTAAAACTAAAAGAGGCACTTACCAGTAACCAAATAAAGAGGGTAGACAATCAATAATCAAGACACAAATGAAGGTTGCAACTATGGATCCCCAAATGGCGGCATGAGTAATCCAATACCACCGAAGGACATCCATGGCTAAATGTAAGTTAACCACGATCACCACTGCAAGTGTCCAAAGATCTCCCAAGCCAGAAATATCAACTGTGCTTCTCCAGTACGCAAGGACGGGCAGAAAGAAGATAGCTGCACTTTGCCACACTGTGTCCATCATTGTTACCCAAAACAATGTAGTGTTGTAGCCTTCTTCTCTTTGACCAGCTCCATAAAGCTGAGGATACTTCAATAGAGTCCTTCTACTTAAATCCTTGTCAAGAATCCCAACCACTATTGTAGGTACAGCTGTGTATATAATCGAGTACAACATACTGCTCCAATCTGTCATTGCAGTTGTAAGCGTGTAACTTGTGAAGAGCGCGTACCTGAGCAGGAAAAAAGAAAATGGTGTAAGCAAATTTCCTTACAGGCCAGATTTGCATTACAAGATCAACTCTGTGTTTATATTTCAAAATCTATGATCTATATATTATGTCCTTCACCTAATACACGTGTCTCGGAACTTAGTTTAACAGAGAAATTATCATACAAACCCCTCCCCCCTCCCTCCCCCTCTCTCTCTCTCTCTCATATGCGGAGACAAGTAAACATTGAATAACAATTGCTTACTATTTTCCTGTTTAATAGAAGAGGAGAAATTCTTTTTTTATTTTTAATAACCTTGTAAGCTTCAGAAACCAGGTGCCACAAAAGAATTTTGCTCTGGATAAGGACAAACTAAGCAAGAATATTTACAGGTAGTTCATAAAACTGCTGTTTGTTCGATGTTTAGGGTAAAGACACGTTCCATGATGTACTTAGCCAAACCTCTTCTTTTGGCTCATTTTTCCATTCACGAGTTTGACACAGTTTTAACAGCTTATTGTCTATATGTTCCTCCAAGGAGAGACAAGGAATTAAACTTCCAAGGAAATGGAAACTCACCAAAATAAAACAAAAACAAGTACTGCATTCCGGTAAAAATTGTAGAGTATCATATAGCTTATTCTCTGATAATTCCAATGTCCATGAACCAATAAAAGAGGAACCAAAAATCTGAATTGGCCCATTGCAAAATCTGACGCCATGACCGCTTGCCGACCCTCTTGACCACTGATTCCAATGCCCACATCAGCCATTTGGATCATAGATACATCATTTGCCCCTGAAAACCACATGCACAACCATTTATAATTGTGCCAAAACCATACCATAGTAGATGAGGAATTATTTTATTTTGCCTTCCTCTTGATCAGAAGTTCATTGTATGCAATTACATCGCATTAACAATTAGGTAAAGATATTATGCTTACCATCTCCAATGGCAAGAGTCATGTCATCAGTTCTGTTCTTAATGAGGGCAACAATACCGGCTTTTTGCAGTGGTGCAACTCGACAACACAATACCACATTGCATCTACTTGCCAACTGGAACAGCTGGAAAGAATTAAAGAGAACTATCAAAAGTTTGACATTCACCAGGAGAGAAGAGGAAAGATATATACATATTCAATCATTACCTGTTCTTCTAGCTCACTGTCAAGGATATGAACAAGGCTTGTTCCATCAATAATCAGTGCAAGTGGACTTGCTTCAGAACTTCCACCAGTGGCATGTGCAGCAACAGAGTCAGGGACAAGTTTCTGTGATACAATCAGAGCATCATCCAAACTCTTCCGGCAGGATTCCTTGGACTTGCAGTTTATTACAATCTGGGTCATCTGGGTTGTTAAGAGCTTAGAAGAGTAGCCAATTGAAATAGCAGTTTCTTGCTTGTCCCCGGTCAAAACCCATACTTTAATTCCAGCCATTCTTAAAGACTCTATTGCTTCTGGGACACCCTGCTGGAGCTTGTCTTCAATTCCAGAGGCACCTAGTATCCGGAGGTTGCTTTCTACGTTGCTAGCAACCTTACGAAGTAGAGCTGCTCTTCCAATCAAAGCAGTGCTCGCTGTCTCATAAGACGATTGCCACTGCTCAAATTCAGAAGCACTTAATTCTCGCATACCTATTACAAGAGTCCTCAAACCCACTGAGGAGTACGAGTGTAGATGTGCTTCGGTAGCGCCTAAAATATCCAAGTTCAATGAATTATCAATTACGCTAAACATAGATGTATCAGCACCTTTAACAAAGACCTTGACTGAGTTATCTGGGCAGCCCAATATAACAGACATCCTCTTCCGATCACTGTCAAATTCATGCAAACCCAAAACATTGAACCTGCACCACGCATAAGGGATTATCACCAATTGTAGGAAAATATTTGGTTATATAACAAGGACCTCTCAGCAAGAGAAGAACTAACGTAAGCTAGCAGTTAAATAAGTACAATGTTGAACATGGTATATAACTTTTAGTCAACCAAACCAACCTCAATTGAAAGATTAAATAGTTCATTTCCCTGGTCTAACTCTATAGAATATAGAAAGGAATTTTATTTTATTGAACATTCCATTGTTTTATTACTTCAAACAAAATCTGCAAGATTTTTGACAATGATGGAACGACTTGTTTGATTTGCTTTTATGTCCTGTTTCCATTAGCTGCCACAGCTAATATCACCACATAGCACTTGATAACTCAGGATTCTCAATGATTATGCAAAAGAAAGAACCAACTCTACTTCAGTAACACAATAAATGAAAACATTCAGGAGTAGAAAGAGTAGGGAAATACCTATGTGTCTCTCCTTGAACATCAATGACTATATGGCCTGAGGTTCTTTCAATCAGCATGAAACCATAAGCAGCAGCAGCATAAACCAATGCCTGTTCATCGGGTGACTCCCCTTGGTAATCCACTAACCTCACAGCTGGATCAGCTGTCTCTGTAGTAAGAGGTACAATTGTATTACAAGCAGCCAATGCAAGGAAGAAATCTCTAACACGACTTTCTTGATCAGCTTGCTTTCCACTTTTTGCTATACTCAAAAGCTGTGGGTCAACCTTGACCTTCATCTTAGGCCTCAGAACCTGGCCATCCACTGATATAAAATAAGATGGTTAATTATGATGTTGAGCATGGAAAAAAAGACTTGAAAGTAAAATAAAAAAAAGAGCGTTTTCTTCAGGCAATGAACTCTTCATGGATTGCAGAAAAGAAAATTAAGAAAAGAAAGTTAGGAGCACCTTGAGCAGAGTATCCCACTTGTTCATCTTCATCAATGGCCGTTCCACCATTATAATCTACACCTGAAATGCTTGCACAGTGAAACTCCATTTTGTTCTCAGTCAGTGTACCAGTTTTGTCAGAAAATACGTATTTTATTTGCCCCAAATCTTCATTTATGTTTAGAGCCCTGCACTGGAATCTTGAATTGGAGGATGCATCATACATATTCGTGTCTCGGATCATGAAATAAGCCTGACCAACACGGACAAGTTCCATAGATATGTATAGTGATATAGGGATCATGACTTGGAAGACAATAACTGACATGAGAAATGTGAAGAATATCTCCAGCCCATAACCATAGTAGTTGTAATCATCATAATTACCATCTGCTTCAACTTCAGAGTAATCCTTTTTCCTGTAAAAGGGCATATTATCCAACTCATCCTTGTGGCGCCTCAACCAAACACCAGCACAAACAGAGACTATAGTACATAGTGCAACAAGAAAAAAGGAGAGGATAATAATTTCTCGATTCATTTGTGTCTCGAGGCGGCTTCTCTTTGATGGAGCTCCTGAGCTGTTGAGCATAGCTTTGGTCTCCCTGCCAGCATATACTGCAACACCAATGGCCCATCTAGTGTTTTTGAGCTCACAGCCTCGGAGGACTATGTTGGAAGGTCCTAGTGAAACACGCTTCCCATCAATTTCCATGTTCGCCTGGAAACCATATATATTCCTGTTTGGTTTCTCACACTTGATTAGCCCACTAATCTTCTCCTTCTCAAGATTTTTCATTTGGGTCTCCTGCTTTGCATAACGTGTCTTTAAATTTGATTCCCCATCCAAATTAATCGTCTGGACATATGCAACGCCAGTTGGGTCACTTGTTGAGAGGAGCACCATATCACAAGGAAGTGAATCATTTGCAGAAATTTTGATGATCTCACCCACCTGTATATCTTTCCATTTCTTCTGCTGAAAATTATCATTGACCAAAACCCATGCCAATCTATTGTTCTCAATCTTGTCTGACCGATGCCTCCTAAAGTCCTCGTAGGCATCCTTAACTGCTGTAACACTTAACACAAAGGCTAAAGGCAGAACAGAAACCCCCCGGCCAAACACAGCTAGCTGGGGAAGCTGATTGAGTATAGCAATCACAAGAAAATAAATATATGCAACCCTATGGAACTGTTCAAACACGTTCCGAGGCAAGAAGGTGATGATAGAATATTTCGCCGTCCTAATCGAATTCCTTGCAAATTCAAAACGTTCGTTCGTCTTTACAGGATCATTTATGTAGACGAACCTTGCATCCTCATCATTAATCTCTTTCTGTGACATGCTTAAACCCTCAGATTCAGCCCTTGATCCATACCTCATCGGCTTCTTTCCTAACTCACCAGAGTTCAACTCCCTAACAGAATTTCCAGCAAAGCTCACCTCTCTCATAGAATTCCTTCCTGATGCTCTCGACTGATATGACGAATTACTACGTTGTGATGATGAATTCAGGGTTATATTATCAGGAAGTGACAAATTATCAACTTGGGAATTTATATCCATCCCAGTCCCAGAAGATGGTTTCGGGTTTTCAGAAATGGACTTCAACTGATCAGCATATGCAGGTGTATATGGAAGCTCAGGGGCACCCGGAGTCCTTGGTGATGGAATCAAAAGAGGACGCTGTTGTGTGGTCATGAGCACAAAATTAGAGACCCCTGAACAACAGCCTGGACTCCAAATTCCCAAGACTCATCAAGAAAAACCCCTCCACAATCACCTAAACTACAACCCCAAGCTAACACAAAATCACCTAAAATCACCAAAACCCACAGATTCACCAAAAACCCAGATGCCAATTTCCACAAAAATCAGAACTTCGGGGAAGACGCACAAGTTGATCTTAACTAAAATCACAAAAAGTCACAACTTTATCCACAAAAAAACCCCTCTAAAATGAAACCAAATCTCTGCCTACTATTCTATCTCCCTACTTGTTCTTCCTACAGGAAACAACAAAAAGGCCGGCCAAGAAAGAAATAAATACAAATATTGACAGAACAAAGAACAAAGAAAAAGCTACAGAGGCAAAAGAAATACTCAATCAAGAATGAATCTTTACAACAGAATGCTCAGCTATACTATTATTCCAATTCTCTGGTGCTGTCAAGACTTACTTGGGAGAAGAGGGAGATACTAGAGAGAAATGAAGATTGCTGATTTGTTGTGCATAGGAAGCATAACAAGCATGATGATGATGCACTATTTCAAACATTTGAATGAAATAGTCGTGATATTCCATTTGACAAGGCAAGAAATGGGAGTGGAGAAAAATTCAAAGGTCAAAGTGGGTATGCAAGGGCGAAGATTGCAAGAAATGGGGACAACGAGGGAAAAAGAAAATAAAAAATAAAAACAAAAAAAAATGGAAATTTGAAGGGAAAAGTCAGCTTCTTCTAGTAGCTAAGGTGTAGTAGCAAGAAATTGTGGGAGTTTGATTTTCGTTGGATTTCTAGAAGGTAACGAGAGGTTTTGGTGATGCAAATATGAAAGGTAACTTTCTCTCTCCTCCATTTTCATGCGATCCATTCCTTTTTTCTTCTTCCTAATTAATGCCAGGAATGTGACTCGGTGGGTGACTCGGAGTCGGATTTTACTGAATTGTTATGTCCAGATTGGAAGATGGTTTTTGTTTCTTTATTTTTAGTTTTTCTTTTCTATTATTTATTATTTTGTCTTTGGTTGCCCATTAAGCACTCATTAATATATACTTAAGGTGTTAGATTTTTTAAAAAGATAAAATTAAATAAGAAAAGTATATAAATGCACTCATTAAGATGTGTTTCAACGGTTAGATTTTTAGAAAAGTAAAATTAAGTAGGAGAAGTATATAAGAAAAGTATATAAAAGTAAAATTAAATAACAAAATTATATAAATGTTCGGGAGGATATTGATTATATTAGCACGTGCATATATATAATAGGGTAACTGAAATTTATATGTGTTAACGAGTGTTTAATAGACATTTGTCATTAAAATTTTTTATTTTTTTCAATCCAAACGCACTAATTTTGGGTGGAAGATTATTTAATTTATTTTGTTTGTTGTAAAGAAAATATTTTTTTTTATATGATGTATATAAACTACAAAAAAGTTTGATAAAACATGTGCTTATGAAGGGTAAAAATTTAAAAGAAATTTTAACTAATAATCCAAATGGAGAGTTACGTTCATTGTTTGCATTTCGTTTGATTGACACAAAATTTTGTTAGACTTGGTTAATTTTATGTCATTTAATATTTTAAAAACATCAGTGTCATTTACTTCTTAACATTTGGTAAAGTCATTTACTTAATGAAGCATACCCTTTAGATAAGTAAAGCTCTTTTTTGTTATGTCAGTATACTTCACAAACAAAAAATAAAATAAAACCTTTTTCTCCCCCTTTACCCAATTAATAAACCGTTAAACTTGACTTAAGTAATTACTCTCGTTTAATCACATGACAAGTTTTTTTTAATTAAACAGCGAGCCAAAAATATAACTCAGTCCGTCTCAAAACGGATTCTTCTTTTTTTTTTGAATTTTTGTTTTTTTTTTTTTTGCTTTTGACCCCGTCCGTTGACCGATGGAGGCTGCTAAAGAAGGAAGCTGACGAAACACAACGACGCCGCTCTATTATTGGCTCACTGATAACGTGGTTCCCCATCTTAAGAGTTAAGACCAGCAGTCCGTCTAAGAATTGTTCCATCTGTATTGTGTGGGACCAACCTGGTCTGTATTTCTTTATTTGTTGTGATTAACCAATGCAAATGCCACTGGCCATTTGGTCCGGTGGTCATCACCATTAAATGTGATGTTGGAGGTCAGAGGTTCAATCTCTGCCTCTCACAAATTTGTCACAATTTGTGGCGGTTTTAATTGACTTTCATCGATGGAGTCTGTACTCACATCGAACCCCCAACTATTTATTTGTTTATGGAACTAAATCTAATGCTTGAATATATGAAAAATAAACATTTAAGGAAAAATATTATGTGTATTCAAAGCAAACCAAGAGAATAAACTTAAGTTTTATTCATTTGCATATTTTTGTGAATGATGTACAGTTTTTCCATATACATTATTGATACGGTAAAAATTGATTGTTAATGTGTATCTATTTACGTGTTTGATTAATTGTGTACAACAATAACAAAATACTGGATCCAGATATGGCAATGGTTCAAGTTTGAATTGAAACTAGATCAGCACTCTGTCGAATCATAACTAGAATCGACTTTAAGGAGTTAAAATTGAGGTCGAAACAAAATTAGTGGTTTCAACTTTCAAGTTGGTTCAAATCTTTCAATTTAAAAAAAAAAAAAAACAGCTCAATGAGAAAATTGAGACAAATTTTCCCTTTTCATCTCAATTTAAATGAGAAAACTATGTATCTTTGATTTATTTAAAATGTTTAATAATGTGATGTATTTTGCATAGAATTTGTATCATTTTTTATTTTTCTTGTCGGTTAATAATACAATAAAAGCGTTATTTTCTTTAGCTTCTCTTCATTCTAATATCATTGTCTTATTCTTTTAAAATCAAATTTGTAATTACAAGTGATTATGTATAATTCGAAGGAACTAGAATTATAATCGGAAGAAACTGAAATTATATCCTAGATAATCGGAATTGGAGCCGAAATATTTGATGAGTTTAAAACTGTAAATGTAAACATCCTTGTAAAGGCTAGTTCCATTTTTATCTTTCAAAAAAAAAATATCCAAAATCGATGGTTTTGGATCGAAGCAGTAGTTTTAGAATTGTGGCCACCCCTAAATGGATGCATAGAAATTGAATCCAAATCAAGATTAATATGTGATTCACAAATGTCACTAAAGTCCTTAAGACTACAATGATTCCATTGATCAAAATTCTCTCTTTCCTTTCCATACTGCATGAAAATTATTGATCTGTGATTCACAAATGTCACGAATGTTCTTCTTTCAAGCTAGTTTTTGAAAGTGACATGAATGCAAGTGTTTTGCTTTGGGTTTTTAACAAAGATGTCCCATCTTTAGAAGTACGACAGCGATACTTTCTAGAACAGCATCACTATATTTGAAGGCCAAAAATATCTTCAGACAGTTCGATTTTGTCTAATATATCGCTTGTATCATAAATACATTTCTCAATTTATTTTTTTATATTTTTAATCATTTTTTTATTTCACATATATCACATTATAAATAGTGTTACAATAATTATTTCAAATAATACTCTATTCAAACACACTACAAAAGCTAATTCCTCAAAATAGCTAGCTCATTTAGATTGTTATTTTGTGAAATTTTTGTAGAAAAAGATATTGTAATGATTTGATGTATATGAAATTAAAAGATGATTAAAAAATATTTTTATAGAAAACATAAATTTTTTTTTAAAAAATTAGCAATGCAAACAAATGCGAAGCCAAATTAGAACAAGCACTGCACGGATTTCAGTTTTGTCTCGTAGCTTCTTCACTTTACCAATGGTATCAGCAAAGTACTAAAATATACCAAGCTAAGTGTTTTCATTAGATTAATCAAAAAAGAAAATAAAATATCCTTTTGCATTTTTTTAAACTCTCTAGTTCTAAATCCATCATGACAAGTAAAATTTGAAGAAAAAGAAAAAGAAACTTCAAACTTTACAAGTATTGAACATACAGACAGCCACAGATATAGAGGAAATGGGAACTACGTAGTTTAGTTTCATTACACACAAATTGCAGTTTTTTTGTGTCTGAATATTTGTGAGGCGTCTCATTTTGACCCGGGGGATGGAGAATCTTCTTCCCTAATATTTTTCTTGCCCACATTCATGAACTTGGACAGGGAACGTAGCAATTTAAATTATTTAATTAGCTTCGTCCACTATTCCCACACCATATGATTCATTGAATTATTTTAAGGGGTGACCAATGAACATCGGTGCCCCTAATTTATGTTTAACTTTAGATTTAAAGAGATTTTGTCTTCTTTATTTGCATTTTAACTCCTTTTTAATTTAAATATGTAATTTAACTTTTTGAATAACTATTATGGGGGATCTAAATCCACACCTTAACCACTAATATGACAATTAAGTCCCTATCACTTAATGAATTTCACTTATAACTTTTTGACAATTTTAAAATTATCATTTCATACAATAAAAACAATTTGCCATAACAATATTCATTCAATTATTTTCTAATTTTCTTTTAATCCATTTCTTGTTCTTTTTAATAATTTACACTACTCTGAGCATCTTTAAATAATTATAAACTCATGAAACCAATTAAGTTAGATAATAGAGTTAGAGATCTAGGTATTACAAATGTGTTTTAATTTCATAATTTTAATGTAATAGATATGCATCTAGTAAAAAAATATAAAAAAAAGAAACATCTAATGATGCATGTATTTGGTACAATGTTTGGAATATTAGAATTTTTTATAAGAAACATTAATAATATGATAATTTTAATTGTTGTACATTGAGAAAAACAAATTAAGAACACACATTACACATCCTATAAGCTCACAATTTCTCTAAAGCAATGAGAATTTCGTTGAAAACATTTAAAAGTTAAACTAATGGGAAAATGGTTAAAAGGATCGCGCTCAGCAAATTGCTTATAGTGTGTAAAGAAAAAAAAGGCATCAATTTAGAATGACAAAACGATTAAAAGAAAAGCCATTAAATGTTAAGGGTCTTGATGTCATATTAGTCTTTAAGGTGTGTATAGAGGAAGTAAGGGTGTGGATTTAACCCCTTCCTAACTATTATGTGGCCCATTTTAAATCTTAACAAGTGCTCGGTGATCACGAGACAAATTTATAACAAATGATAATGTCACAATCCATATTTTATTTTTACAGTAAATTTATGTTGAAATGACAGTACTAACCTTCTAAGTCCAAATTGCATTTGGACTTGAGAAAAGTAGTTTTGGCATTTTGTGCAAAAATATCAGTGGAACTAAAAAATGGGCTGTGGCATTAACAGCACCCCAAACTTTTTCAGTTGAACCACCGGAGCACGCCATCAATTAATTATCCTCTTGAATGCTTCTTTCAAAATAGTGTTATAATTTACAGGTCAATCATCAATTTGTTCCTATGTAGAGTTATGGCCAATTAGAGCTGTTAAACGAACCGAGCTGTTCGGTAGCTCGGTTCGTTTCGGCTCGTTCGTATTCGTGAAAGGCTCGTTCGAAATTTTAAACGAACCGAGTTCGAACGAATTTTTTTGTTCGATTAATAATCGAGCGAACACGAGCATGTTCGCGAGTTTTAACGAACATTCGCGAACATGCTAAACGAACGTTCGCGAACACGAACATGTTCGCGAGTTTTAACGAACGTTCGCGAACATAGACATAATTATCATTTAACAAATTTTAGGGTTAATTTTATGGCTGGACTTTTATATTTAGAGGGCAAATTTCTTTGTTTTATTTGTTGTTTTTATGTTAATGTTAGTTATATAGTTAATGAATAATAGAATTTAGTCACTTAGTGCTTTAATTATTTTTTAGAATGATTAATAA